AGGTGACACTGTAACAGGCCCGCGTGTAGGTGACACTGTAACAGGCCCGCGTGTAGGTGACACTGTAACAGACTGGTCTGTAAGTGACTGAGGAAGAGGCCTGTATTTAAATGATGGACTAACACTCCTGGACGGACCCTGCTGAACCTCAGCTGAGCCCGGCAGAGCCCGTTGGCTGGTGCTGCTGTCAGCTGACACCCACCTGCCTGTTGCGCTCATCCATAATCCTGGTGATCTGGATCTTCTTTCTCCCCATGACGGCGTTCCTCTCGGTAGTCCCGAAAAGCCCAGAATATTGGAAATCCAGCCAAGCTTGCGCTCTGCCAAGCCTCTAGCACATCCTATGTGGTCCGCCTGTTTCACCACGCTCCAAAACCTGCGTCGGAGAGAGAGGTAGGACAGTGAGGAATCGCAGCAAGCCGACACTGGAGGGACAGGATGGCACAGACACGCGTGTCACCTGTGAAAATGTCCCCACTCTGCCGATCATTCAGAATAAAGCCTCACATTCACACAGAGCGCCGAACAGAAGAGTCATCGCAGCGGACGTCGAAACCACCTTGATCGCTCCTTGCAGACAGAGGCCAGCACACGCTCAGGGCATAAGGAACCGCTGCACCGAAGCTGCTTATAATGAGGCGTGAGGCTGTAGTGTCTGCGCAGGGAGGGGCTGGGCTCCCCACGGCCCACCAGGCTACCTGCTGTCGCCTGCGGAGGGCCTCACGCACCCCGAGCCCCTCACGGCTAATGCACAGTGACAGCCGGGGCAAATTAGTCACAGAGAGCACTCAGCAATCCTCTTTTCCTCCTCGCTTCCTTCCTCTCGTGGAGACAGAGACGCAGAGGGGGCTTCTTCCCACCTCACACATCCCATAATAATGGCAGCTTTGCCATGGCGATGATTAAGGGCGCAGGCAGCTCCAGGTTGACACGGACCTAATCCTCCCAGACAGACAGCTGAATGCCAGCACCCGAACCATCCCACACGTCGCTCGAGGGCCCACATGCTCAGGGGCCACATCGCAGAAGAGGACATGTCAGCCGCTGGCGGACTGATATCAATAAATGATGAACACGAGGCAAAATCCCCGTGCGGGCGGACTCGGCCACCTTCATGAAACTTTCAGATCTTGAAAGAAGAGGGAAAACACAGCGGCACAACCTGGAGGCCTAGTTATTAAGAGTCGCTAACGTTACAGAAACGTATAAGGAACACTGGGCCGAGACAGCCCCTCCCTGTGTCCCCCCAGGGCTTGCCCAGAGCACCAGGCACAGTTCAGGCAGTGAGCAGGGAAGCAGCGTGCGAGGATGACAAGTCCAGGGGCAGAGCCCAGCAGCGCCACCCTACCTGACAGAAGGAGGAAAACGCGGGACCTCTGTGTAAAACCAGCAGTATCACTTTGCCGACAGCCGGACTGAGGGCACCGCTGTAAGGCAGTCAGGGACAAAATGTCACCACACAGATCCCGACGTGACCAGGCGCCGATCTCCAAGCCTCGCACCCGCCCGTTTCACAGCTTGCTCAGGGGGGCACTTTCATCCCGTCTCACACCCTCAGCCGGCGAGCAGAGACCCAGGAAACGCAGGCGGAGGCTCCATGAACGCGAAAGCAGGACAAAGCAGAACGTGTGGCGGAATGCGAATGGGTTCCCCCGTACGCTGACAGCCGTGCAGACGGCACACGGGGCTCATACTGAAAGGGGCTGGAAAACGGGAGATTTCCATTATCAGCCCTCATTCCCGCAAGACGCATCTTTCCATGAATAATTATTTATCTGATTTCCATCAGGCGCAGCCGAAACAGAGACGCTCGCCAAAGGGATCCTGAGACTCAGAACCACGAACCCGGTTGGAAACATCCTTGGGGCGGGGGAGCGGGGGGTGGGGGGTGCGCGGCATATGGGAGGGGGGCATATGTCTCTCTCTCGTTCCCGAAGCCGGGATCTTTCTCGGCAAGCAGTCCTACAGCCATACGAGGCACCGCTTACACCTTGAACCACATCAGCCAGGCAAAACACACTCCCTCGAGAAACAAAACACATTCCCGAGTCGAGATTTCATTCCACCCACATGCAGGCTGGATATCCACCTTCATCGGCCATGTATGGACGTGCCTCTCTGAGAAACCCCCTTTCCGAAAGGTCCCGTCCAACACGACGGCGCAGTCGGAGCTTTCCGCTCCAGCCCGACACTCGATATCTGCAGCAGCCTCGTCACTTTCGCCGGTTGGCTGGTCTTCGCTGGCGTTTAATCATCGGCTGGTAATGCTTCGGGTGATGCTTGGGGGCAGCTGTGATGGGGGTGAACTGTACATAAAAATAACACCTGAACACAGCAGAGCGGCTCAGGGATGCCACAGCAGGGTGTGGTCCTCCACCCAGAGGACTTGAGGATGGAGAAGCATGTCCTGAACAAGCAGGCCCCATAAATGAGGTGCCTCCGCCCTGTGGCTGCCCAGAACTGGCCAGCAGGTGGCCCCGTAATTAAAGGTTATCTGATGGGTGTCGGTTCAGGGCTGTAATGGGTTCCACTGTTCTACCTTTGATTAAACTAGTCGATATGAGTGCAGCAGGAAAAACACCACTCGAGTAAAATGGGTAAAATTGAGCCCTGCGCCAATTTGACTGTAATGAGCCGTAATCTGTGAATAAACCTCCAGACAGACATGGAAAACAGTCAAACCTGCCCAAGTTCAAAGGACACTTTCGATTCAATTATATTCATTTGACAGAGGGCCCTTCCCAGTACAGTTACCCCAGAGCGATTTACACGCACATATATAAACACACACACATCAGAGGAGAAAAAAAAAACAGAAGACAGTGGAGGACAGGAACAAAAACCTCTAGTGGGGAAAAAACATTCAGGAAGTCCACAGGCAACAGACTGCCTGGTCCTCCTGGACACAGATAAATCAATATCTATAAGGGCGCAAGGTTACAAGCCTGGTTAAAATTCACGTCGATGCCAGATGCCCAGACCAGCATCTCTACAAAAGCTGCTGAGTAACGATCAATCCGGTGAAGTTTGCTGCCACAGGAGCCTGGCTTCGCGAGATATGAAAATCAGCCGGAGTACCTGCCCGGACAGACGCACGCGGAGTGTAGGAGTAACATCTACACAGAGGGAAACCTAAGAAAAACTCCGAGGAGCACCAGTCACGACCTGTGCCCCAGTTTAACTTTCCCGGGAGTTGGGGAACACGCGTCACTGGAATCGTGCTCGGCGGCGACGTGTCGTGTTCTGAGGTCGCGCTCTCTGCTTGTTTAATCAGTCGTGTTTCAGAGCTGGTCTGTGGACCGTAATGATTCGATAAGAGAGTTAAGCTGTTCCCAGCTGTAATTAATCCGCAGTATTTACAGCACATCTCCATGCGGTGTGTACAGAATTGGGTAGCCTTTTTTTAACTGTATCTGTGTCTATATACGGAATATTTACATTTTACATTTATTTCGCAGACGCATTTATCCAGAATAATGTACCTCAAAGAAAGCCATGAATTTCTGAAACATAGGATGACTGGGGAAGGCTCATTAATATTCATAAAGGAAGTGTTACCTGATTGGTCGCTTTTACCTAGGCTAACATTACTTTTTACTTAGCTAGCAAATTAGCTACCTCAGAGTATTGCTTTTTTGCACTACAAAATAGGGCTTTTCCCAAAAGCATCATAGTGCAAAGACTGCCTTAAACATTAGAGAGAGTACTCTCTGCTACAAAATAGGGATGTTTCCCAAAAGAGCTGTATAGTGCAAAGATTATCACCGGCCAATCAGGTACTGCTTCCTTTACGGATATTTATGAGCCTTCTCCTGCCTTCCAATGTTCCAGAAATTTTGCGGGTCAGCTAGTCCCTCAAGCAATTTGGTTTATGGGCCTTATTCAGGTGTCCAATGGTGAAAACACTTTTATTCACAAATACAGAGTCCTAACCTGCTTAGCCACACTGCACCACCGATCCCGCACCCCCAGGGGAGCCCACTCCCCTTTTGTCCACTTCATTCTCTGAGTGACGGGGTTTCACAGCTGTATGCAAAGCATCACCTTCTAGTGTTTGTCCGCATCACCGAGGTCAGACAGAGTTCCCAGCTTGTGTTCAGCTGCTCAGCAATCACTGCGTTGTCCCTGGGCACCATTCCTTTCAATTTCAGTTGTTTTCTCATAATTTTGGGACACAAACCTCCATATCTACAGCTATAGCAGGCCGCACAGATCCCTGCAACAGCCAACCAGGATTATTCACGACACAGTTAAACAGGAATTGAAAACTTTGCCTAAGTAACAGCTCAGCAGAGCTCTAAGTGAGAAAACTTCTCTGCCAGGAGTCAGGCAGGCCTGCCAGGTGTGACAGCCCTTTGTAACCCTACCATAACAAACACTTCTGTGACTCAGATCAGAGTAGCACTAAAGTAAGAAACCACAGATTTAGCTCTTGGCTATAGGACAACTGGACCAGGTTTGACGCCTCCAACAGAGTCGTCAGGCCCGGAAGGACCACGCCCATCTCCAGCTCGGCAGCGGAGCCTGATGCTAATCTGGCACACACTGCTCCTCCAAGACTCTTTCCTCCACTCTGCTTCGCCTCCCTCCGGTTTCCATGGCAACTAATGAGATATAATTAATAAGGTCTGCTAAATGATGTGTGTGCACATGGAGACGATCTGAGAGAGTCAGAGAGCTTCTAAGGCGTGAACATCTTTGATCTGAAGAAATGTGCCAAGCTTGAAACCCGCTGCCATTCTCTGTGAAACATTCCTTTGCATGACAATAATGTTGCATTAAATTACATGTAAATATAATCACCTGAGATAATGTCAGTTTATGACTCTAAGATTATGTCAGTTCACTGAATTAACACCTGGTATCTGTGAAGTTTATTCAAGCTCATGTGTATTTTAATAGTAGATTTTCCAGTTTCATCTGTACTGTCACCCTATAACCAGCTAATACTGTAGCCAACTTTTCTCAATATCCATCCATCCATCCATTCTGGTCAGGGATGTAAGATGACGCAAGATGAATGTAGTTATATAGATTTAGATTCAAAGAGGTGCAAGACGCAGAAGGAAAAAAGGCACCCAGACAATGGGAGTCACAGCAAGGACCTGCAGCTTCAAAGGAGCTTTCAGTAGGGTTTCTAGGTGCCTCTGCGTTACTCCCTTCCATGTGTACATGTCTGTGATTCAAACAGAAAGCTCCTCGTCAGCAAACAGATGAAGTGTCACAGGAACGGGACCAGACCGGTTCAGCCCAGTTTGAGTTCTGACCATGTGTGAGCCTGACTCACAGCAAGCTAGATGCAAAGTTGTGAAATTGATCCAAAATCACAACCAAAACGAGAGGAACTCCCCTTTGCATGATGTCAAATATTCATCC